AATACCGGATGGTTTCACTCATAGCAGGAGTATAATGGACCAGGCGAGAAAATAACAAAAATAATGAACAACCATATACCAGAGACATTTTGTGGGGGTGGAGTGGGGAATGGGATCAAAAATGGGGGGGGGAAGGAGGGAAATGTACGGAACTATGGTGGTGGCACACGGGTGATTTGGTGATGGGAAACCTGCGGGGATTACAATCGAGATGGAAAAAAAAATGTGCAAAATGATGTAAAAATAAACTTTTGTAATAATTAAAAAAAAGTTTTATGAAAGTCATAATAATAAATAATGTTTTATTAAAATTCTCCATTGTTCCTACATCCAACACATATGAAGGTATATGTGTTACCTTTATAATGGGTGGGGAAGGGAAATCAATGTTTTTAATGCATGGAAAATAAAAAAGATGAGGAGAAAAAAACACAAAAATATTAACAGTAGCTGCTTCTAAAGGTTGAGATTTGGGAGAGATCTTTTTCCTTTTTTATTTCCTGTCTTTTCCAATCATTTATTCTGAACATGTTTTACAATTCAAAACTGGCTAAATCCTGTTTCTAAAAATGTGTGAGTAATAGAATTCTGTAATCCCAGAGGACAAAACCATTTCTGCCACAGCAGTGCCCACAACCCTGTCTGTTTGCATTAGTTTAGGATAATAATGCTTCAAGGCGAATAACTGGCTGAAGTGACCATCTGTGTGGAATTATTAAGTGGTCCCTCCAGCCCCATCTCCTCATCCTGGCCAGGTGCCTGGGTCTGATCGGCAGCCCAAGGACTTGAGAGGATGCTTGATAATTACAGACACTTTCATAACTGTCATTGTAGTTTATTGAAAAGGAAAATAATGTAATATGAACTTGGTAATTTGATTCTTTATCCAAGATGTTGACAATTTCAAATGTACATGATGCTGAACTCATCAGAATAGCAGGATTTCCCAAAAGGCAAGCTCTGAAATTGAGAAGATCTGAGTTTGAGTCCTGATTCTACCACCTGCCAGCCATGGGACCCTGGGTGGTATGTCACTTAATGTCTCTGAGCTTTGCTCTCTTCATCTTTAAAATCCAATAGCACCATCTCTCCCAGAGGACTGTAATGATGCTTAAATGTGATCACAATTGACAGCACAATCGAGGACCTCAATACTAGGTAGTAGTTTCATTGTGCTGGCTATTTGAGTTTTGAGACATTTACCCAAGTCTTCAACCCCAATCAGAAACCTTTTAAAAGGACATGGGTAGAGAAATTGGAACTCTCATACAGTGTTGGTGGGAATGTATGTTGGTGCAACCACTTTGAAAAACAGTTTGGTCTGTATTTACCTCAAAAGGTTAAATACAGTTACCATATGACCCAGCTGTTCCACTTCTGGGTAATATACTCAATAAAAGTGAAAACTACATCTGCACAAAAACATGTGCATGAGCATAATTGCAGATTTATTCCCAATAGCTCAAAAGGTGGAAACAATCCAAATGTGCATCAACTGATACTGAGAAATAAAATGTGTTTTATCCCTGGTAGAATATTATTTGCTAGCAAAAAAAGAATATAGTGCTGATACAGGCTATAACATGGATAAGTCTTAAAAACACAGCACTCAGAGAAATGTATTGGTTATAATAGACCACATATTCTGTGATTCCATGTATAAAGAAAGTCTCTCTCCCTGTCTCTCTCTCTCTCTCTCTCTCTCTCTCTCTCTCTATATATATATATATATATATATATATATATATACATATATATATTTATAATATGTATACTTATATATATTTATATATATAAAGCAAATCTTTAGAGAAAGAAATACTGGGGGAAAGGAGTGACAATGTCTACAGGTTTCTTTCTTGGCTGGTGAAGATGTTCTAGAATTGTAACAATGATGGTTTCCTAATTCTAGAAATATACTAAAATTGTAGCCTTTAAAAAGATATTTATGCTATGTGAATTACCCTCAATAAAGCTACTAAACATTTCAATCACAACACATGATCATGAGGGTAAGGAAATGACAAGGGCCAGCCTGGGTAGCTAGTCAACAGGGAATCCCAAAAGTAAGATCTCTCAGTATGAATTTGTACTGGGCCTGGCTGGGCCTGATATCACCTTGACAATGGTTGTCCATTCCAGCCTTCTCTTCTCCATTGCTCAGTCCCTTCAATTCTGTTTCTCCAATTTTTATCCCCTGCCATCTTCTCTTCTCCTTCTTCACCTCCCTTCCTAGCTGAACCTATCTTTGTTGTGGCCTCAACATTTAACAGCTTCCAATCCGTGTCTCCAGCCCAAGTCTTTCTGTGCATTTCCACCCACTCCTTGGAAATAGTCAACAATCATAGGAAACTTGAAATAGAAAGAAGTGGATATGGAAGAGAAAATAGAGTTAAAGAGAGTTCCAGAAAGCACATTAGGTATTGCTTTCAAAAGAGGCTTGGGAGAGAGAGAGGAAGCTGAGGAAATGTCTACTTCAGCCTTAGGGCCTGAAACCTGTACCACCATTTGGCCACCAGTGTTCATGGTCTGGCCACTGAAGTATTAGTGGAGAGGGAATGTGGAGAACATCCAGGGCATAGAAGAACTCTTAAGTATGGCACTTCCTAACTAAAGTGTCCTGGTAGAGTAGAAGGAAAGAAAATCAGTCTTCTCCTGGCTTAAATCTAGTCTAGAATTGTCGCTGTACATATTGGAAATGATCCATTACTTCATAGTGAAAGTGACTCAAGAGAATGGCTATTCCCTTCTGTCATTTTGTGCTTAAGAGTCAATTTATAGTATAAGATTACTGACATTGATTGAGCCTACTATGTGTCAAGTAGGGTCCTTGAAGCCTCCACTTGTGTTCTCTCACTTAACCCTGATACAGTGAGGTTGTGCAAGGGTAAGCTCCTTTCCCAGGATGGCACAAGTAGCAAGTGAAGGCTGAGAAGCTGAGAGGCACATGTCTCAGAATCGCTTTTCTTGTTATTTGGAAAGATCTGTTTGTGTAAACCTTGGGGTTTTACAAGGGAGATATTGGATGACTGTAATATGACTCATCAGCCCAATTTAATATTACCTATTCATTACAATGTAATGATGCTTGCATAACAGAGAAAATGCTGCTACAGTTCCCCCTCTGGCTCTGTAGACACCATACCTAGAACACAGAACATGGGCTAATGATACAAGCTATGTTGCAAATAATTTTAAGAAAATTTTAACTGCTCATCTTTATGGGGTTGTAAATACATGGTCTAATTTTGGCCAGTAGTAGCATCTAGGTGATACTGACTCAGAAGGAAGACATTTGTTGTTGCCATGAACATGGAATAGAAAAGCTGAATCACCCCAGAGCACATGAAATGTTAGCACTATTAATAAAACATGCGCTCAATAGTGAGAAAGATGGAACTAGACCTTCACTGACCAACAAGTTCATTATTCCAGCAGATAGGTGATGCAATCGATGGTGTCATAGTATAATGTCACTTTCTTGTATTATGTTTTTTTATCAACTAAGTTTATAATTAATGTGTGTGATCATTGATCAATTTTGCCAGCGTATTATATTACCAAAAACAGAAGTTACAAATCATTATCTGCAGGAGCTTTGTGGGTAAGAAATGGAGGCACTGGGCCAGTTGTAAGGCAGTAATAGTGAAGTCTATCCTGAACTTCGTAATGGAGACAGACACTGAGTATAGTGCTTAGCAACTGTGGATCTGATTGTCCCATCTTTCAAAATGGGCCAGAATCCAGATTTTTAATAAAAAATCTGTAGGTGCCTTAAGAAAGCAGTCTGTTGACTCAGATTGTCATTCCTTTGCAACTATCAACCTAGAATGTCAGAAATTTCATCATTGTAGCCATTAGGCATGAGGGGCAGAGGGAAGAATACCATGCAAAAGATGGAATTAACTATGAGTTTATTGTTGAATAAGCAGCTGTTGACTGAATACAAATGCCCCCATTCTAGCATCCAAAATTATACCTGGAATGACAAGGGTCTTTATAAAAGTGTTTATCCTCACAGTGCTCATAGCCTCACACCTAGCAGAGCAGAGAAAAACACTTTCTAAATAGCTCCTGCTCCTTGAATCTGTTTGGAAGAAAACAAGATGGAAGTCTTGAAAAATGTTTGGTTAATCTGAGTATCATCCACTTAGCTCATTTTCCTCAGTGAAATAAGTGTTTTTAAAAGATCTTTGAAGCCCTCCCAGTCACCCAGTACTGCTTTTCTCTCTCTCTCTCTCTCTCTCTCTCAATAAACCCATTATTGACCTTTTGTGTGTGCCTGCAGTACAACTGAATTTTGAGCGTGGGTCAGGCCCCACAGGCAGGCGGCCCAGTCCACTCTGGGAGGACTGTTAAGAAATACAAAACCACCTTAGCTAAGCGTTATTTTATTTATTTGTGTTGGCCAGAAGGTCCTTTATGTTGGTATTGAAAAGGCAAATACCAACTGTTTAGGAAGGCAAATTATCATTTGCTGGAAAGTACAGCCAATAAATGGTTATTGGCTAAGCAGTTAGTTCAAATATCCCATTTACCTGAAATATATATAACAACACTACCAGAAAACCCCCACAAGTACTAAAGAAAAACAAATTTGCAAATATTCCAACTGTTTTCCCCTACTGGGGAAACTCGTTTAGCCACAAGTGACACTGGTATCAGCCAATAAAGAAAAACCAAACCGTGCTGACATGACCAGAATTCAGCTTCCATACATATCCCACAGTTTTCAACCATTTCAGCTACCATGTGTCTGATGAGGGAAAAAAAAATGACGAAAGCTGCATTTATCTTTTTGGAAATGTGGGGGTACAAAACTTCAAATTTCATAAAAGATTTGAAACTAATAAACAAACCGATGCTTCTCTCCTTTTGAAAGTTTTAATTATCGCTCTTGTTAAAAATCATTCAAAACTATGGCAGCCTTTAAGGATAAACTCTGGGCATGTAAAATAACACATTTGGGAAATGAACCACGTTTTCAGTCGCCAGCGTGATTATGCTTTGTTCTTGGTGGAACCATCTTTGTTTCTTCTCTTTACATCCCAGTTGTACACCCTGGACATGTTGACTTCTGTGGTAGTAAGTTGATCTCGAAGAAAGTCAAGGTCGTCCTCCAGGGAATTAAGGTTGGCTGTGGCAGTCGACAAGTTCTTTTCCAACAGTGCCTGAGCTTCATCGATATCATACTCCAGCATTACATTAGCCCCCAGCCAGAGACACACTTTATCGGTAGGGATGACTGAAGCCCTGCAGTACAGGTTATCCGCCAGTAAGAACCTGGTCTCCAGTGAGTCGGTGGACTCTTTCTTCTTCTGCAAGTATTTTAGAACGTCTAAAGTCCTCTGAATTTCAGGAAGCTGGCCTTTTAGCCTCTTTTTCTTTTGAGCGAGGTTCAGTTCCATAAACCTATACTTCTGGTACTGTTCATCCAACTTCTTCAGCACAGCAGCCGCCATCTCATTCCCCGGTTGTTTCATGAAAGAATTGATGTCTTCCAGAAACACGGCCTCAGGAATCCCCAGGTGCGGCCGCGGCCTTTTCCCTGCTGCTTCTTCACCTAAGTCACAACCGTCCTTGGAGGCCGCCATCTTGGGGAAGGGAGCGCGTGCGACCCGCGAACCGCCAACCATGAATTTTTTTTTTTAACTCCTCGGGACCTGGAGACTTCATTCATTCCCTTCTTCCACACAAATGTCGGGTTTGTGGACGATTATTTAGTCCAAGCCACTATGTTTTCTCAGCTGCTCTACTACTATACATATGTAACAGTTTCCACTCCTAGCACAGTCTCCGTTTAGACTGAGAATCAAACTTGCCCATTTGATCATCCAACTATTATTTCTGTGGAAAATAAAGAATCTAGATGACAACAACAGATTCTGAAAGGCCACCCTGCCAACACAAGCTCTAATGAATGAGCAACATCACTACCATGACAAATAACGAATTGTTCAATGTTATTTGAACAAATGGGATTTTGCAGACATGTTGTCTATATTAACCAGTTGAATGAGACAATGACAAAAATATTCGTCTCACTTGTGCTGTAATATTTTGCAGTCCTGCTTTAAAAGAGATTTCCAAATCAAATACTACTGAAGCGACAGAGAACCACCCCACTTCTTGCGACCCAGTAACCCCTTTCCCTTGCCTCTAAGTTCTGTTCTTGATTAGACTATGAGCCTAGTGGTATTACCCACCCGCCTTAGATAGCTCAACCTGTGATCTTTAAATGGAACTTGCATTCTAGTATCCTCAAAATTCTCACCTACTGCCTCCATGCACTGACCTAGAAACAATATTTTGGGTCCTGCCTGCTTCAGCAGGGCTATTTTTAAACGTTTAGGAAACCTTCCAGAGTTTGACATTCTTTCTTTTTGAAAATTTCCCTTTATAGACTGAAACAGATTAAAATGCACTCACATTCCACATTAAACATAGTTGGCATAACTTTATATATATATATATATATATAGAGAGAGAGAGAGAGAGAGAGAGAGAGAGAGTTGTTGCAGTTGACTTGATCAACATTATATTCTGTTAAAAAACGGAATAAAAAAATATTCAAAAATATTCATTTTTATTTTCTGGATTTGTCTTTGTTTGTTTGTTTGTTGTTGTTTTGTATTTTGAAGGCCGACACACACTCACTTCAAGTTTCACATATTGTTATAAACCCTTTAAAAAGTCAAACCAATTAAGATAGCCTGGTGCTATGTCTTTGTATCCTCTTGAACAGAGTTTCTCAACTTGGTGCAGTTGACATTTAGAGTCAAGTAATTCTCAGTCCCTGGCACTGTTTTGGATGTTGGCAGCATCCCTGCCTCTATGCACGAGATGCCACTTGTGCCTCCCTCCAAAACTGTCTCTGGATAGAGCCCAAACCCCCTGGGTATAGGCTTGCCAGGTAGTTACATATAAATTGCAGATAAACAACAAATGATTTTTTATTCCTATGCCCTAGATGCAACATTTGGGACACACTTATCCTAAGAAAATGTACTGTTTATCTGAAATTCAAATTTACTTGGGTGACCTGTATTTTTATTTGCTGAATTTGGCAACCATACCTAAAGGGTAAAATCACTGTCCTATATCTCAGTTCCCACCCTATACCTTCTACCCCCCTCGATTCCCCATATGTTTGAGGTCTAAGGGCATATTACTTATTACCCTACCTAGCAAAGTAAAGGAATAAGCTTTCTTCAATTCAGGAAGATTTTTATGCATGAATACAGTTCATGCCAATGTCAGTGCCCATTTACATAGAAGTCAACCAACTGAACTTCTTTGGGCAAGGCTGGAAGGACGCAGAATAAATATAAAGCATAGTCCTTCACTTTATGAGCTTCAGTACAGTTGGGAGAAAAGAAAATATATATGTGAGGATTTACAATAGAAAATAGTATATAACTAAGTGCTCAACTGTATGATACAGGTTATAAATGCTCTCAGAAATCAGAAGAAAAAAGTACAAATAAAACTAGAGCATAAGTGGCACAAGAGGTCAGTCTCAGCACTAAGAAGCAGCAGAAGTGACCCACATGGCACAGCAGACCTCACATGGCACAGCAGACCTCTCCTGTGCCACCTACTGCTCCCCTCGGCAGTGTATTACAGTGGATCTGCCTGTTCTGCTCCCCACTCTGTCTCTGGTGAATCCTCTCACCACCCCTGCACCTCTGGCCTACACCCCAGTTCTGTGTGCGTAAATAAATAAATCCTAGAAACAAACAAAAAACCCATAGCAAGGGTAGCTTTGTGGTGAAGGCACTGGAAATGGAGTTTTGAAATACAGTTGGTACTCAATTCAATAAATATTTATTGAATAAATAGATGAATGAATGATGAATTATAAGTACTACATTAAATTATTTTTAGTGTCCTACCACCATTTATTATTGACATGGTCCTTTCCCAGACCCAGTTGCCCAGGAGACGTAAGATACAGCAAAAAAAAAAAAAAAAAAAAAAAGTGGGGGGGGAGAGGGGAACTCGTCAATGATTAGCTTTTGGATTTCAAAACAGACTTTGGAAGCTCATCATGAAAAATAACTGCTAAATAGTTCTTAAAGTCCAAAATCATAGCTCTGAGGAGCTGAAGTCAAGTTCCAAAGGGCATGTGGTATATTTTCTGCAATGATTAATAGTTTTTTGTGGCGAATAAATGAGGCTCTATGACCTTGCCCTGGAAGGTGGATTCTTTAACAGAGAGAGGTGAAAGGAAGGATGGGACCAAAGAGAACCTTCTAGAGCAAACACTCTGCCCCAGGGATGGAGCCTGGAGAGACAGTCCAGAGAGTTGAGTCAGGTGCACTGGACCGAGTTCTGGACGCACTTGCAGGGCAGCTTGTGAGGCCAGTGTGCTGTGAGCCACGTTACCTGATCACAGCTACTGTTATTCACCCTGCTGCACAAATTCTTGGCTCGTGAAGGCATGCAAAGGAACTCAGACGTTTCAGACAAGTAAGCAGAGAGAAGCAAACTGTCTTTAGAAAAGTTTATTTAGGAAAAAGGACAACGAGCAAAGACTCGCGGGAATAAAGTACCTGTAAGGGGCAGAGAAAGCATCTGGAGTCTTGCTTCAGGAATACATACTTTCTTTCCCTCATTATTCTAAAGTTTAATCAGTCTCTCTGTGATTGGTTAGTTATCTATCAGTGGTCTCACTAAATCTGCTACTGTCCTTGGGATCTTTTTGTATTACATCCTTTATCTTTGATCGCCCTTGCTCCGGAATGTCTCTTGCCCTTGTTATTTCTAGTCCTGGGGTGTTTGACAGGCCCCCACAGAATTTGTTGTCCTTATCTCGGTCCCTTGTTCCACTTGATGCTCTGATCTCTGGCGCTTCTTTAACTCTCCTGAAGTCCCCATCTGTGCTGACCCTGAAGCTACCTGGTTACCCTAACTTGCCCTATGACTCATTAGGGCAGGTGTGTCCAAGTCACTGGCTGAGTCAACACCAGACTTGGTCCAGGCCCAGGAGCTCTCTGGATTTCTTCTCATTGCCTGCACTTTCATTTTCCCACAGGACAGACACCATCTGTGTCCCCAACCCCTAAATCCTCCTATGCGAATGGGCCGATTTTCCTTAAACCTAAGGAAGGACAACACAGGACTCTTTGGAGCTCATACTGACCACAGCCAGCAGGGGGTGAATACTGACCTAGGGAAAACAAAAACAAGCCCCCCAAAAGTTTGAGTAATGAGTAGAATTTGAATTAAAAGGAAACAAGAATGTAACTTCCTACAAGAGGGACTCCGCAAATGTCAGATGTTCTGAAGAGAAAAATCACTTAAACTGGTCTATGGTAAAGGAGGCAGAGTGTAGATTTTTGCTATTAGCTTTTGCTTGTATTGCTCATTCTACGTTCTACACATTCCCATTTTAAAAATTGTCTTCTTCAGCCTTTGGCTTACAATCTACTATTTTATACTTCTTTTTTGTTAATTGTGAAAAGTTTTTCATTTCTTCAGTTAAAAGCATAGTTGCTCCAAACTGCTGAAAAATAAATCAAGATGTGTCTATTGCTTTTTGAAACTTCCTCCAGAAGTTAAAATAATCTACCAGCCTTCGTTAACTCTATTCAAAAGTGCATGCATCGCCTGCAGGAAATTCTCTAAACACTACTGACATAAATTCATTGTTGGCCAAAAGCCTGGAAATCTCGGTTCACTTTAATATCTATTATTATGGAGAAAAATCAGTCTGCAAAAATTTGACAGATTATGATTTCTGTGAGCTTGTATCTCACTATTTAGTATATTAATTTAATATGTCATGCCCCCTTATTAAGTCCTATAAATATTATTATGCATTTATCTGGCATTCAACCCTTGCATAATCAAAATTTTCCTACTTTTCTTTAATAAAGCCAAACTTCAAAAGAACCTTAACTCACACACATTTTCTCCCTAAGGACTTTCTTCATATCATCAATTTAGAGGTCTGCTATTAAAGAAATCACATGAACAGAATGTTTTCACTTCGGTTTGGTATTTTTATTTCAATTTTCTAGCTGGCAGTGTTTTTATAGAAGGTGTTCAGATAGAATGATGCACTAAAATTTAACAAATTAAAAACCTGGACACTACACGTAGCTTATTTGTTTTCTCCAACTCAAATTACAGAACTAAAAGCTAAGTGCTATGTTTAGTGAAGGAAATCCAGCTCCTGCTCTGCGCTGATGGCAACTTACTATTCACATTGTACCCCAACATCCAAGTTACAATATTGAAATGACAGAAAGGACCAAAAATGAAGAAGCAATAAATGCAGAAAGGATAGCTGCAGAATGACCCAGCATGACCTCAAGATCTGTGTGTATCTGTGTGTTCATACACAGGGTAAGTGGGTGTTTGCTGAACTCAACTCCAAACCAATCCAATATACCCTTCAAGCAGGAATTATCAGTTATTATTGAATATGTTCAGGGAAATCTACTTTGGTCAAAACAGTAGGAAAGAATTTAAGTCATGAAAGAAACCAGTAGACCCAAGATGAAAAGAGCCACATGAACACTGGAAGGTGGAAAGTGAAGCCTTGGGAACTTGAAGTCAAAGCTCAGGTTCACCTGACCAGCCCGCTGCTCCCCTCAGCAGTGTATTTCAGTACATCTGCCTGTTCTGCTCCCCACTCTGGTGAATCCTCTCACCTTCCACCCCCACACCTCTGGCCTATGCCCCATCTCTTATATGCATAAATAAATAAACCTTAAAAAATTGCAACTATTAATGAAATACTAGGATGTAAAAATAAAATACCCCTTTGAACTCAACCTTTTAGTAGCTACAATTTTTTTTTATTCTTAAACAGTTTTGGCCCAAAGAACATCAATAGGAGAAAACATTCACATTTTTCTACAGTACCCTTCAGTTGTATGACTCTCCAAGTGTCAAATTTCACTGTCTGTAAAGTAGGCAAATAACGAATCATTTTGCCCACTTACAAGATTTTGAGGAAAAGATGGAAATCTTATTATAAACAAAAGGATTCACATACCACTCTCAAACTTGGTACTAGAAAATTTCAAACACATGCACTCGCAAACTGCCTAATTCTCGCTCACCAAACCATGATGTAGATAAAAGGGCATTGTTTTTATTAATTTTCCAACAAACAGAGACAGATAAGTTGCACATTTTGCATGATTCTTAATTACAAGTAAGCTGCATAGACATGTGTACATTATTCAAAGTTGAGGAACAGTCAGTGAAATTTCCCTGTTAGAACTGAAATGACTTCTCTTTCCTTTGTTCTTTCAAGATCTCACTTTGTCTCATCTGATCCTACATGCCAGATCAGGCTGTAGTCTTGTGACTTTACAGCCTTCATTTTGGACTCTAGCATCTCCTCCAGAAAGTTCTCCCAGATTATCGAGAGCACCACGACTTCAAAGTACCTAATGCTTATGCCACTAACCCAGGACTGGGTGGCAATATTTGATGCTCAAGCTTTCTATGGACTGCTAGTCACAGATGCTGTTTAAACAGTGAATGATGGGTTGGATCAGATGTGCTAAGCACCTGGTTACCATTATTTAATAGAACATGACCTTCTTGAACAGTTATATCCATGTAGTTAATCTCTTTACATCTCTAAAACAGCCACCCTATAAAATTCATTAATTACTTACATGAGGGTCATGTTTACTTTATCTATCTATGGTAACATTGATGGATTATGGGTGCTAGCAAGGAAAGATCTCCCTTGCATAGGCAATCAGTTTTCCAGTATCTGGTTAAGAGATCCCGCTCCAAGACCAGAAATAGAAACTGGACATCCACAGGGACAGGTCTCGATCCTGCAGGACAGCTTGCTGGTGATGGATGGAGGATGGTATTGTCAGTGACAAGGAGGGAATCAAAAGGAACAGAGTAACAGGAAGGTGCCCTCGGAGTTAAATTCTCCAGTGGTAAATACTCCAAATGCCAGACCCAGGACAGGATCTGTGAACCCATTTCAAGCTCTGACAATCGAGAATTGCTATTCTATAATTTTTTTTAATACTTTTGACAGTTTCCAAATTTCCCTTTTGTTCTCTACATGTGCTAGGTAAAACTGTTTTGAAATCTGGTCTAGCTCACTCTTGCATGGGAAATGAAGTGTATGTAGCCATTAAAGAAACTTCAGAGGCCAGGAAGTTTATGAAGGAGTGGGGGCTGCTTGTGGGTTCAGGATCCTGAAGGTGTTTTACCAAGGACAGAAGCATTTTAAAATAAACAAAACATCATTTTTGAGTAAGTTCCATTTCCCACACTAAGACACAGGATGACTCGTGCATAAAAATTCAGAGTATATTATTTGTAAAAACTCTGGGAATATGTATTCTATGTGTTCTGGACCACACAGAGTAACCTATTACTGAGTTAAGATGATCATACCACCCTAACTTTAATGAAGAAGCTTCTCCCCCTTTGATAGTCTACCTGTTTCCCAAGTATTTTTATACAAAATGCAAACTATCTTTGCATCATGAAAGCAATATTGAAGCTTATCTAAACACTGCCCGCTAGTACTCACTAGTTATTCTGAATATACTTAATGACAAAATGTATTGTACACATTGTGAAATAGCATCTCTGTTATATGAACCATTTTAAAAAATAATGCCAAAACAGCCTCTCACCACCCCTGCACCGCTGGCTTATACCCCAGTTCTGTATGCATAAATAAATAAATCTTTTAAAAAAAATTATTAAAAAATGCCAAAACAAATTATTTTAAAATTACTTTCTAGAAATTTGCTTACAATTGTCCCAATAATGAAAAATATTTAATATCTATTAAATTCAAATAAATCATATGCTTAGTTATATAGATAGGATATATAAATTTACATTACAAATTATAGAAGTCATATGCTTAAAAAATTCAGGTATACATTCTTAAACATAAATTCCCAAGATAAATTTACGAATACTTTAGTGTTTCACATCTTTAAATTTGTTAAATATTCCATCAGATGAAATTTGCTATAACTTGAGATATACAAAAAATTTCAAAACCCATGGTTTGAGATGAGACAAACTGAGTAAATCTGAAAGACTAGATTGAGTTTCTTGAGTCTACATTAAGGATGATCTATCAAGATTTATTATAAAGCATTGATTTTTTAGAAATGTAATGTCAATGTAAAATTGGGGTAACCTTTTTCCCTGGAGTCCTATAAAGTAGAGTTCTACCTTCTAGAAGAAGAAAAAAATGTTAACTTTTTAAGAAACTTTACTCAAATATTTAAGAAGTCAAATGTTTTGTATAATTCATATGGCTAGAACATGGGGCAAGTTAGCCAGCTGAATATGCTCAAAAATTTAAAAAGTTAACTAAAAAGTACTTAGGAAATTTTAAAAGCAGAAGATAACAATAAAATACATTCCATCTAGGGCATATTGATGATATAATATTGTTTTTGTTGTTGATGATGATATAAAATATACTTAAAAAGTTGTATTATCAGCATAACAATAGATAATTTATAGCAGTTTGGAGAAAAAGATCTGATTGTTCCATCTTTTCCTTGGTTGAATTCTCTGTGAATAGCAATAGATTATAAGAACTATTTTTGGTATAAACGAGAATCTGATCCAAAAATATTTAGGAAATAACCTGAGATTTTAGAAGACAAAGGTATAAAATTGACACAGGACTTCCTTAAACCCACTGGCACTGAAATACTAGAATAGAAATAGTAATAACTACAAAATACATTTTACCACTATTACTGATATGACCCAAAGTACTGGAAGGGTGAAAATACTAAGAATTACTACCTTCAGGCTAGGATGGAAGAGAAAAAAAAAAAAACAGGTTGAATAAAATGTTATCACTTATAATTAAAAAGCAATGGGGTCTATGGAACAGTACAATGCAAAATGGAGCACATAACAGGTAATCAGCATATTTTATCCACAGCAATCCATTGCATTAAAAAAGAAAAAGATTTAGTCGTTCTGGGAGTCTGACTTCTCAGTTCCCTGGAGGCCCTTTACTGCACTGGAGTCCTTCAGATGAAGGGAGGTGAAAGCTGACTTGAGGCTGCCATCACCACTCTGCTGGGAGAAGCACAAGAAGGTGGCCCAGAAAAAGCCACAGACTCCGGTGTAAGCTGTTCTCAAGTGAATGGGAATAAGGGCGAAGTTGGTCAGCTGCAAGAGAGTGGAGGAGAATCCGTCAGGGCTCCAGGTGGACAAAAGGCCTGCATACCCTATCTCTGTAGCTTGAAAACTCACCTGCACAAATGGCCAGTACATCAGAGCACACTGGAATAAAGGAAAATTTTATTAGAACACCTTCTCATTGCCCCAAACAATATTGTTCTAGTGAAACAGTTCATTGTATAAAAGATTAAGAAATTCAAGTATATAGTACAACAGTAGTGTTATATTTCAGACTAAGCTGCTTAAATTAGAGTGCTTAAGGTCTCCAGGGTTGGAGGCAGGTGGGGTCATGTATAAAGCTTTCTTACTCATGTATCCAGAAAAAAGTCTCCCAGAATCAGTACCAGTTCTGCAAAACACCCGCTTTCAAAATAACAAATTTGGATAGGTAAGATGTGTGTGTGTGTGTGTGTATGTGTGTGTAGTAATTTTCCTGCTAGCCCAAGCAAATAATGTAGGGATATATTTATAAAAGATCATAATATATTTTTAAAACTATATCACAATTCATTTTTTGTGAAATGATTTGCTAATAATATATTCAAACTATTTCATGATATAGAATACATCTCCTACGGATTAAAGCATAGCACGATGAAGCTATCCAAAGCCACTGCAACATGAGTTCAATCCCCGGGCAGGGAGGTGACTCACGGGGCACAGCAGACCTCTCCTGACCTGCCCGCTGCTCCCCTCAGCTGTGTATTTCAGTCAATCTGCCTGTTCTGCTCTTCACTCTGCCTCTGGTGAATCCTCTCACCGCCGCCCATCCCCGCATCTCTGTCCTGTACCCCAGTTCTTATATGCATAAATAAATCAATCTTTAAAAAAAAACTATTATAAAATGTTTTAGATTTACTTTAACACACTATAAAGTATACAATCTGACAGAAAAAGTCATCATTATGAATTTCTTTTTTAAACAGATGTCTTGGTAAATAAATTCTGCCCTCCCAAAGAAAAGATGCAGCAATTGAGGTTTCCCAAACAGTCCTTTAGAGGTGGTATTATACCAGATCGTTTCTCTCATGTGTGAAATATAAATAACCAAAGCAAACAAACTAACAAATCACAACAAAAGTCTCTCTTAAAAGTGAAGGGAGGGGTGTGGGGGGAAAAGCAGGGCACTAGAATTTTGGTGGTGGGTCAGGTAAGGCCTATACATAGGCCAAGTCGTAAAACTGTGCTCTCCAAATTTATACAGGATTGCAGATTAATACATTTATATTTTAAAAAGTGATTTTACACTGGTAGCATGAAAATGATATGAGTATTGCCTCTTACTAAAAATATATGCATTTTCTAAAGTTCTGCAACAAACAATTGTAGTAACAGTTTGATTGCAAGTATTTAAGCACTTTGAAGTATCTAGGAATAGTGTCACTGAAGAATTTACTGCCTTTAATTTCGATCAGAAAACTAGGCCCACCTCATAAATTTCTCATGACATTTTTTTTTCTTTCAGAAGGTAGAATTCTCTTGGGCCTAGATCTTGGTCTTCTGTACAATCCCCCCAAAAGGGAAAAAGACTCCTCAGAAAAAAACAGCCAGGTTCAGGGTCAGGGCGGGTACAAGGTGTGCCTGAAATATCTTGCTATGCCAGCAAGGACTTGGGAAGGGACACTCACTGACCAAATCAGGCTCAGTTTAGCGCTAAAATAATTAAACACAGAAATGAATGAACAACCGTTGTAAAAGCAGGAGTTCCTGGAGTCCTTACTAATAATAAACAAAGAATTAAGTAAATAAATAACTGGGAGAGAAAAGTTCTAAACAGTCTTTCCCGGTGAAGAAAGAAGGAACTTTTCCCAGCTTTGGGCTTAGGGGGACAGTGGGACTTCGGGCCTCCTTATCATCTGCCTCCAGTCACCATGTGGACTGAGAGATGCCAACTCTAGGGTTTGGTACAATTCAACAGAAGATGCTAGAAACAGTGCTGGCAATGGCTGGGTCTGGTGGACACTGCTTTTCTTCAGGAATTAGGTATGTGAAGCTCTAGGACGGCCTGTATGACCCTAACTCCTTAAAATTCACCTGTGTAAGCAGAATTAACATGCTATATAAGGCAGAGCTGGAAAACCTCCCTGATTTTATCAGGTCTAAGGATACTTAACCAACCTCAATTGAATAAGTAAATAATATTTGTTAGACTGGATTGTGTATATTTATATTGAACAAACAGTGTAACAGGTGGCTTGCTTTAAGGCTAGAAGTAACCCCAGAGGAATATCACACTTCTCTGTAAATACCTTGGTGAGGTTAAGAAGTTTCCTTTCACAGTGACTCAGCACATCTGGAAACAATGGCGCTGAATGACCATTAAGCCATAGCCTTCTACTATTCCTATTGTGTAATGACCTCATCCTCTCCAAAATCAGGAATTAATGTAACCACCACTGAGAGAAAATATATGAATGTCAGGAGTCACTAAGAGTTATTCCTTTCCACCCTGGAGACACTCATGTATAAACATTGTCAAGTACTGACATTTTAAAGTATAGAAAAACTTAAAACCTCTTCTCATCCATCAAAATGCAATGCCCTTATGCCATCCAACTGGAGCCCTTTCTGGAGGACAAATATTTTTATTAAAATGTACTTTCTTGTTAAAGGTATACAAAAAGATGTTGTTTGCATTTTCAAGAATCTGCTTTACCATGTATGTATTCCAGAATTTCTCTTTCAGGTCCAGAAATATGTCATCCTTTCCCTGCAGAATACTCATACCTGTCGACACAAAACACACCAAAAGAATTTTACAAGATTTAGTAGGAAGAACATTTAATGACAGTTCATGTTTGTTTTTTTTGTCCAATTTGCAAAATAACCACCACAGTCACACACTCAAATGACCCTTCTGATCCAACAGTCAATACAGAGCATAATTTCCACTCTAAAACTATATAACGATCAAAGGAAGGATAATTACAAAGTGTGAATAGAATAGCAGGGTATAAAAGTTACAGCAGAATAGCTTTTTAAAAACTATAAGAGAATTCACAAAAACAACAGCGTTAAAGTAGTTGGACTATGAGTGACTCTTCTGCCTTCCAAACTTTGAGAAATGTTTAGTTTTTTAACTTAATTTCATTTAGGAAAAAAAAAAAAGCTGACAGAATGTTAGTTACCATAAATTCCCCATCAATATTATACTAATCAGAACTTGAAAGCAGAATACCAATTCAGTCCTAAAAACATCTTGGAGGGCCCTCCCTGGTAGCACAACAGATTAGGACGCAGCACTGCAAGCTAGCTGCAGTCACTTCAGTGCAAATTCTATCCCCGGCCCTGGAGTGACCCACATGGTGCAGCAGACCTCTCCTGACCCGCCTGCTGCTCCCTTCAGCAGTGTACTTCCTCGATCTGTCTGTTCTGCTCCCCACTCTGTCTCTGGTGAAGTCTCTCACCGCCCCTGCACCTCTGGCTTGTAACCCAGTTCGGTATGAATAAATAATCTTAAAAAAAAAAATTAAAAAAAAAACATTTTTGAAAAGTTTGATATTCAACCACCTCAGAAAGAAATTCAGGGTACAAGGACAAACTCCTCCTATTTAGGGAGAGTGTAAATATAAAAGAGTGTTAAAAAAAATTCTCTGGTCTCTGATTAGGAAGCAGGGAATTAAGAGCTGTTTTGAGTCTTGGAAGGGGACTTCTAGCAAGACTCCTAAGGAAAGCCAGCCAAATATCCATGAAACCACTCTCTACTTACCCAGCACTAATTAAGTGCTATGCACTCTATGTGCCTTATTTCAATTGACCCATGCAAACCACTAAAGTTGGCATCAAAGAGGAGGAAAGAGCCCAGAGAAGTTAATAGGGGCCAAATCCAAGCCAGGTGTGAATTTCTGAGCCAGACCTCTTTATCACAACTACTCCGGCTTCCCAACACAAAAAGTCATCTGATACAGGCAATTTCCAAGCCAGAAATGCCTTGAACAAACACCCCACCCTGATCCCTTCCTTTGAACATGCAGAAGACTGGGCCAGAAATCTGAAAAGCAAAACAAAGAAGCAATCTGTGCAGGAATCTGGGGCCTGTCCCCACAGCATCTTTCTGGTTTCAGGTCTACTGATAACTCCCTGCAAATTGCTAATCCCTTTTAAGCCTCAATTTTCTCACCCATCACCTGGGAATAATAAAAGAACCTGCCTCAAGGGGTTGTCCCAGGAGTAAGCAGGAAGCTGGTGCCCAAACTTGGAATCCCTGGCTCTCAACCCTTTTAACCTAAGAACAAGCTGAGGAACATGCTTGTGAACCCCAATAATTGTTTGCAAACAGGTAGTGCAGCTGGGATTGCATCTCCAGGAAGTAGTCTCCTTCTTGTTTACTGTAAGGGAAAAGGTCACCCCAATAAGATCCATGGGGCAGGCTAAGCTTCTTCAAGGCAGTGGCCTGAACACCTCAACTCAGTGTAGAAGCTCCACCAGCTACTGACAGAAAAACCCTCTTGGGGCAAATCCGATAACCACCCCAAAGCCAAGGTTAGGTCAGAGACCCTTGGATTTTTTTTAGGAATTGGGGTCCCTAGTCGGCTCCCTTTCAGTCTACAGAAGAGCCCTTCTATTGCTTTGTTGTTTAGGAGTCTTACAAGTGTTGCCTAAACCCCAAAATCAGGCCCTCGGGATATGGAGCAGATTTTCTTAGGAGGCGGCTCAAGGGACCTCCAAGCCAGGGTCTGACTCTCCTCTTATTTTCTGTGGGATTTGACAGGGGTTGGGGGTAGGGGATGCTCCTGCAGGAAAATCTAGTTACCAGAGCAGCCTCAGGAGTCTGAGCACCAAGCTCCCCTGAAGCCCAGCCTGACCTTGGATCTGACGGATCTGATAACAATTCCTCACATGTTGGAGTGTTGGAATGGGGGTCTGCCAGCGGAAGGACCGTCCCAAGACTCAAGAGTGGGTTTTCCAAGGAGCAGGTGGCCCCCTCCCCGCAAACAGCTCACAGGGTTTACAGTTGCCATGGTGTGGAGCCTGGTTATTTCCAACAATCCAGTGGGTCTTTTTTTGGGGGGGGGGGAGTGACTCCCTGCCCAGCCTAGGTCCCATTCCTGCTTGTAACCCAGGACTCCTGTAATCTCCAGTTTGGATTTTGCACAAACCTAATGTCCCACCTGCGACCCTAGACCCTGGTCTCTGACCCTAGATGCCTGGTCACTGACCTGCCGGACCTTAGCATCCTAAGACTCCAAAGCTCCAGTCACATCCCCTCAAAACCCCTCATCCCTCCTTTCTACTTAATCCCTGGCCCCCAAATTTCTCCCTTATTGCACTTCATCCTTGGTTCTCTTGGTCCTCTGAATTCCCGCTAACCCAACTTCCCCACTGCAACCCACCCCATGGTGTTCCCGGAATCTGCCCAGCAAACCCCCACCCCACCCCCCAGACCTTCACACCAGCCCATCACTGGTCTCGCCAATCTCCGCCCAACCCCTGGGACCCCAAACCTCTGCCTCGACTTCCCCAACCCTGGGTATCTTGCCCCCTCACCTGGTCCTCCCCACCCCCCTCTGGCACCTCACCACAGTAGAAGCCAGAGATGGCCACGGGCCCGCCGACCGCCTGGTCACACAGCACCTTGACCAGGACCACGCGCGGCGCGCGGCCGGGCAGCGCGCGCTCCAGCAGACGCAGCCACACGTAGTTGAAGTTAGCGTGGAAGGTCGTGGCCAGGGTGGCCACGTGCCGCGTCTGTTGCCAGTCGGGCGGGTCGTCCCGCAGCCACTGCTGCAGCGCGTCGCCCCCCGAGAAGAGCCCAGCGTAGAGGACCACGTTTGTGGGCCACGGGTAGCGCTGGACCGCGCGCGGCAGCGCCCGCCACCAACTCGCCATGCCTGAGCCGTGGGCGTCACTCGCCGCCGCCGCGTCGGCTCCCGGGACCTCGCCCTCTGCGGCCCCACCGCGCT